ATTTAGTTAAGGGTTAGGAGCGAAGTGACTTCTCTGAATAATGAAAGACGGAACCTCTAACAAAAGCCACATAACCAATAAGAATTTATTGTCACAAGCACAATTTGTTACACAAAAATTATGGGTCACATTTACACATTTTATACAGATCTAGAACTCAATGTACAATTAACCTACTAACTAAATACCAATAGTTAAATATGCACTCACATTGGACACGATATCATTAAAACCTACACAAAAATGTACTGTGTGAAAGTAACACGAGTCGACATAAAAATCACATTATTTACAACAACATAAAAAAACAAAACCCATCAATTTGAGATCTTTAGCAAAAGGATGTTTGAAGGTTCTCCCATCTGTCTGAGACAGTATACAATCTAGCATGTAAAAGCTCCCCCACTACAAAGTTTTAGTCAGTCTCTTAATCGTTGAAAAGATTATAAAGTAATAAATTCAAGTAGCGAGAGCTGAAGAACACCGAATACACTAGTTTATACTGCGCTTTGCTAGGACGGTATGGCGGTTTTTCCCTTTTTAAAGCAGGCTGGTGTGATTAGCAGTTAGCTTCATGAAGTGCACTTCAAGCCTTAGCAACTTTCTGCAATGAGATTTTTGTAAAAAATTTAGTTTTATGTATACAGAGAATCCTTCTATGGGCGCATCGAGTTTTCTTTCTAGAGATTACGACATCACTACATATAGGGTAATACAATAAAGTTGATGAGAGAGCGTTTGCAGCATCAACTGGAGGCGAGCGTCTCATCTCCCGCTGCTGTTTGGCAGAGTTGGTAATGATGTGCAAGAGGCCATTTCAGACAGATGGAGGTGGACATCGTCAACCCTTTATGCACCTGTGATTCTGCCGTTTGTGTGGCACTGAGACATTTTCTGTCATGTTGAGTAGTGATACATGGAAGCTAAAACTGAGGCAAACAGACCCGGTTAAAGTTACTGCCACGCTGGTGTAGAAACTGTCACCGTATAAACGATGACCACAGGCTCCGGATCTTAAACGCAGAGGCAGAGCAAAGATGCCAGACACTTGCATTTTTTCCCTAATAACCAACAGTTGGAGTGTCCATCCTGGTGACAAACTAAAGTGAGAACGTGTAGACGTCGAGGGGGAAATGGCTTTCATTTCCCTCGATCTGTCAATTCAGCATAAACACTTCCCCTGTGAGATTCTGCTCTCAGTTAATAAGTTATATCAAGCACAACAAGATGCTGATTTTGTAAATTATGGTCCTCACAGGAGTGAAAAAAGGAAGAAAAAATGTGTCCTGGCCAATAACTTGTGGCTGTCAACAGGTATGCAGTGTTCTCAAAATCAGACGGATGCTTTGCTTACTTACGGTTACAAAAAAGGGAAATGAGAAGAGTGCTGGGACTTTTTACAGTCTTCCACATGGATGCAGCTAAAGCTTGTGTCAGTAATGACCATTTACACACAAGTCTGTAAGATAGGAAGTATAAAATCTAATATAATAGCAATCATTTCTGACAGGCGTACCTGTAATCTGGTTTTGCTAACACTAATTGCAGAAAGCAGTTTTAGACACTTTTTGCGAGCGAACCAAAAACAGAGCAATGTTCTTCACGCCTGACAGAGAGGCGCCTCTCTGCAGAGATGAGGTATGTTCACTGGTACATACTGCAGACCCTGGAGCCTAACCAACAGTGCACTGTACGTTTGTATGTGTGCAAATGACGATGTCCACCCAGACATTCATCGTGACTAACATGGCTGTGTTGGTGATTTAGCTATACAGAAAAACGAGACAGAACATGAGATAAATGCATACATCAGTCCAGTTCTGAGCAGGAGCAAGATGGAGAAAGGCGGAGATTACTCAGAGAAGGGCGGGAACATCCCAAGATCAGCAAAGTCCTCGATGTTATAGTTGGCTGTTCCCTGGGTGGGATCTCCAGCCATGGGTAACATGTCCTGCAGAGACACACGGGGATGGAGAGTCAGAGGTTGGAGGTGTGCAGAGGACACAGCTCTTATCAGACATATTACATATCTGTGTACACTGGTCAGCAGCCAGCAGCTGGAAGGCTGACCAACTAAACAGAGTCCAGCAGCTGGACAGTCTCGCTCAGTATTACCTGGAAGACTTCTGTCTGGCTAGGGTTGGGGTGTGTGTGCTGTTCCCCAGTCTGCTGGGAGTGATGCTGATTCTGCCACTGGGACCAGACCTCACTGGGGCGACCCTGGAACTGGGCTCCACTTTGACTGCTTTCACCGGACACATCTGAAAACACATTTATTTATTCGTGAAAACATTTCTGACACAAAGTATTTAGAATAGAATAGAATAGAATAGAATAGAATAATCCTTTAATTGTCCCACAAGGGGAAATTTGGGTGTAACAGCAGCAAGAAAGACAAATATACAAACAAACAGAACAGAAATATTTACATCGAGGACAGTGGTTACCACAAACAGAGTCCTGTACCGTAATTAAATTAAATTAAATTAAATGCAGATGAGAGGCAAACCCTGGTTCTAGTGTGAATCGGTTGATAAAGTAGTGCAGTTACAGCGTTGATGTAAACATCTGTTTGTTGGGAGCAGCTCTGTTTGTGCAGTCTGACAGCTGCAGGGAGGAAGGAGCTGCAGAAACGCTCCAGGATTTAATAATGGTAGAAAATGCACCGACTTATTACAAGATTTAATAAAAATCTTAAATCCAAGAAGAACTTCTTTGACATCATTTGATCGGGATTTGAAAACACTCTACTGTAAATGAACCACGGCAGACCCGACGGCAGTTTTGCTTTTCAGCATCTTTATTGTTCCGGTTGCTGTTTTCCACACACGGCTGCAGCTTTCCAGCCGCCAGTCGAACACATCACCAACAACAACAACAACTGACAGGACCCAGTACAGACTTTTTATGCTGGTGAGGCGTGACTGCAGATGCCGCTCAGGTGCGTCGGCCTCCCCTGCAGCGGCACTGCAGGCCACGTCTATCACACCTACCAAAGCAGTTTGTGGATGGTTAGCAATGTTGTTATCTTCTATGCTAAATACGTACATACAATATACTTAAATATATTAAAAAACCCAAATAAATCATGTCAATGATCTCAGTTGGCTGTTCGGCTAAAACATCATTGTTTGATCAAATCTCTTGCTCAATATAATATAAATATATTTATAAAATCCAAACCCAACAAAGCTAAGCAGGTTAGGTTTGTCTTTTTTGGCCACATGCTAAGAACTCGAAGATGCAATCTTTTCAGATAAAGCCTTTTAGTTTTAGTTTTTTGGAAGCACACATTCTTTGTTGAAAGATTGTTCATTCTAAAAAAGCCCGACACAAACCCTGTTGAGAAATGCTGCTGTTGCCAAGAGTATGATTGAAACTCGCCAACTACGCTGCTGTGATTTCAACAGAAAAAGTAAAATAAATGAAACAATTCTACAAGAAACAAAGAGATTTCCAACATGTAGTTACATTCTGTGTTTTAATCTAAAAACAACACCACACTCCAGTTTAAGCCCTTCACCACAACCTTATTCCACAGGGAGTCACGGTGCTTCTCCCACTACAGGATGAGCATTTATTTGTATTTTCCTGATTTTTCTCCATAAGACGCAGCTAATGTGTTTGGTCAGTTTTTTACTATAGCCCTAGAGCGGCACGTTAATGTTATAGGAAAAAGACCAACGCAACAATTTCAGATAAATCTTTATTTATATAAAGCACTAAATCACAACGGCAGCTGCCTCAAGGCGCACAAAGCTCCCGTTACAGCCTAAACAGATGGACTCGACATTAACACTGCTAACTACTGATGGGTCGTATTAATCAGGGCAGCATGTGGTGCGCTGGCCTCATAGGAAGAAGGTCCTAAGTTGGGATAGCTTAACTAACCCTGATAAGGACAAATGGAAGAGACTGGATGGACAGGCTTAATCATACTGTGGCATTAACAGCAGTGGATTCAGAAGGAATGATTGTATTATAGTGGATTTTAAAGAGAGATGTGCAACTAAAATCAGACATTTTCCAATGAGGCGTGTTGCATCTACCAAAGATGGAAAATTGAGTCGGAGCTTTGAAAGATAAACTGAATTGTGTTCAGTATCTGATGTCTGATGTCAACTCTGAGTAACCTGATGGACCAATAACTCTGGTCGATTTCAAAGTATTACCCAACTGCTATATTTTATGATGTATGTATTTATTTAAACTGATATGGGGATGCTACATTCAGGTAGAGTAGTCCACTCTGTGCCTGCATGTGGTGGGGACACTGCAGGACTTGCCTCTGCCCCTTTGGGAGTGTTTAGACCCGTTGATAAGGGTCAGACAAAGATAAGTTTAAAACACCAGTTAAACCCATAACAGGATGGATGTGGATACATTAATGTATATACATCTATAACATATGCAACACTGACACCGTCACTGACTTCATAACCGAACAGGTGCATGAGGTTAAGACAGTAAATCTTTTCCACTAGTACCTACTTGGAGGACTCGCCACGACTCTACTCTGATTGACTTGTTTTCCGTTACAATCCGGTACAACCTAACTGCGTTGTTGTCGTCATAGCAACGCGTATGGATGTTTTTCAAAGTAAAACTGTAAAAATTA